TTTCTGCAACTTTTGCATGATGGTTTTTAACGTGGGGACCATCTGTTCTTCATACATGCCATAAAGTTTTCTTCTAATGATCTCCACATCATTCCGGTCTAGTTCCCTAAACCTACCAGCGTCTTTTCTTTTTCTTCTACTTGCTATCGATTGTTTTGTTATCGACCACACTGTGTTGATTGGTCTTTGTGTTAAGGCTAACGCTGCCTTCACTGCATTAAATTAGGAAAGTTCTCGTTCAAGGAAGGTAGTGTAAACGTCAAAAATCACTTTTTTGTGCCAACTGACAAAACACTGCGCTTTACAGGTTTGTTAACACTGACGTCTATTCTTTCGGCATTATTATTAGCAATAACTTCACGAGAAGTACTAGGCTCTTCCACGGACGAAACATTTTTAAATAATATTGTTTTATACACAAATTGTCTTTATTTATGAACAAAGTCAAACAAATAACTAACGAAATTGTCATAATATTATTTTATTCTACCTGTTCCCCAAGTCAGAAAATATAATTACTATTTTAAATATATCGTGATTGGTGTTTTAAGTAATATCCAAAATAAAACCATTCCAAGAAATTATTTAAACTGACTTTCACTGATAAGACGTAATAAGGTTATAATGACGGGTTATTTATAATTCTTTTGTTAAAAGCTAGTTTATTATCAGGATCAGAAAAATATACCTGAGTTACCGTTTTGGAGATTCAAAAAAAATTTCTTTTCATAAATTTCATTTCGGGCGTTAAATTTTATGTATTACAATATATTTTTTTTATATCATTGTTCAATCCAAAATACAAATTTTAGAACCTGTAAATAATTTAATGCGGTGAACGAAGCGGCAGTCTTAACACAAAGACCAATGAAGACAGTGTAGTCAATAACAAAACAACCGATAGTAAGTAGAAGAAAAAGAAAAAACGCTGGTATGTTTAATGGCTTCTCTACACATCGGCAGATGCGTCCGAGGACGACATCTACGTATGCATCTGGAGATGTGTAGATGGGGTAATTTGATCATCTGTTGTTTATATATCACGTCCGCGGATGCGTCTGCAACATATCCGATTGTTGTCTAGGTAATAATATAAAATCGGTTTTAAATTATTGTAGTACATCCCTGGTACACCAAGAAATATGTTTTAGTCTATGAAAGTCGAGGTTTTTAAACACGTAATAACCTTCAAAAATATAGAATGTTTTATAATTATTTCCCTAGTTATAACTAGTGGTTGTAATAGGTATAATTAGGCACCTTAAGTGACGCCCTATATTAAATTTCTTGAGTTGTTTCCGGTTTAATTTTATTTTGTTTGTCCCAAGAGATTTGTATAAGTACCCCTTTATTTCTTTTTTTGTAGTTGCCCCAATCCAACCCCCATATCTTCAACTTATCCACGGCCCAGCTCTCCAACAACCAACTGAGTGCCGTACGCACTAGTTCCGATTATTTTGTTTGTCCAATCTTCTCCCCCATGTTCTTACCCTGAGGTAAGCAAAATAGTCGTTACAACGTCTGACGTTTTTACATTTTTAAATGGTCGCGTAGATATTGCGTCTCCCGGGAATTAACACAGACTGAACGATTTACAGACGTGTGCAGATGTGTGATTAACTTGTTATGATACAACTGGAGATGCGTCCGCAGACGCGTCTGTCGATGTGTAGTGGAGGCATAAGAAACTAGACCGGAGTGATGTGGACATCATTAGAAGAAAAATGTATAACATGTATGAATAATAGATGATCTCCACGTTAAAAACCATCATGCATATGTTGCGGAAAGTTGACACATGAATCAAGTGCTGCAGTGAGACAGTAAGGCAATGTCTTCTAAAAATAGCTTTAAAATAAAAACGATCAATAAACGTCAAGTCATTATGGAATATGCTTGTCTACAAATATGTAGGACAGAATTTTTAATCCAAATTTAAAAATACAGAGAAAGTGGAAAAGAAGCTGGTTATCTGGATGGGACGTGGTTTGACACCCATGACGTTCCAAAATGTGGTTGGGCAGATTCCTCTTGTTGTTATACAACAAAAGCTTCATCAAATAAAGGAAAACGTATTACAATTATCCATGCAGAAAAAATATGGTTTTATACTTAATCCTCTAGCTTTGTAATGCAAAAACATTAAGGACTCACGTGTCGACTATCATGATGACACCACGTCAGATTTATTTGAGAGCTAGTTTTCAACGAAGTTATTACCAAATATAGCACCAAACAGTGTAATTGTGATGGACATTGGCAGCTACCACATTCGTAGGCCGAATAAAGTTCCATGTTCTAATGACACCAAACTTGGAATCTAGGAATATATGCTGAAAAATGATGTATATTATGAAGATAATTATTCTAAAAACCAATTACTTGAAACTTTAAAATTATTTTCCACAGAAAACAGTATTATTGCGACAATCTGGTGGAAGAAATGGGTCATACAGTATTAAGACTTCCTCCTTAGTATTGCATATTTAATCCTCTTGAACACATCTTGAAAGTATCGGTAAGGAGAAGTAGTTGGAAAAATACAGATAGGTTGCTCAAAGAAACAATTATTTCTAGATAACGACAGTGATAGTGAAACTGACTTGTAAATGTAATTTTTTTAATGTAATTACTTTTTCAATTATATTTATAAATGGTAAACTTTCTATGTATACGTAATTTACGTACATATTTTTAAACTCAGTTGATAGGGTATAAAACCAGCTTTTAACCAGGTATTTTAGTTTTAAACTATTATCTTCGCTGATCTCAAGTAGATTTTGAAAAACTTCATTTGTCATTCTGACAGGTTTATTTTTTGGGTCGTACGAAAACGGGTCCATCATCCAGCTATATAAGTCATCTGAGTCAATGTCAGGAAAATAGTTTACTTTTCTTAAAAGAAAACACTTTCTTCCAAACCTTGCAAATGAGCAATAACAATTTCAAAGAAGTTCGTTTAAGGATTGATTTTATTTTTATAACAAATTCCTGTAATCGAGATAAATTTGTAAGGTTCCTGTTTTCAACATATGCTTTGAAAAATGTAACTTTTTTACGCAAGGCTTTTATTTTATCTAATTGTGCTCTTCCTTTGCATTGAAGCGAAGCAGTGGTTATTTATTATTTTGAAGATGTCTGAAAGGTATCCCAATTTTAGTAGCCAATTGACATCTTTTATTTCCTGGATAAAAGACTCCTCTGTAAATGTGATAATCTGTAAATCAATCAATTTTAGAGGCATTTCATGCCACTACCTTTATTCTAGACACCGCCCCTCTAATTTTACCAACCATTGCAGCCGCTACATCACTGCAAATATCCACACATTTACTCCACTCTTCATTTTTTCTTATATACTCTTATCTTATATACTCGTTCATAGCCTTGATATTTCTTCACCAGTGGCATAACTTTTAAGCTCTTCACACATAAGGATTTTTTTTCTATTTTCATCCCGAATGGAAACCTCACAAACACAAGCAGAACAGCAAGTCCAGCAACGTCGGTACTTTCATCAAGCCGTAAACTAAAGAATTTACAATTTTTATTTATATATCTATTTATATGCACTTTTTCTGCAAAGTCTGAAATAGTGTGAATTCTCTTGCTTGTACTGCTGTTTGACATCTGCACATTATCAATCTTCTTGGTCATATCTGGACCTAACACGCATTGTACGACATCCTTCACGCAAGCTTAAATTAGTTCCTCGGCAATGGTATAGGGTTTTTCAGATCTTGACATGTACAAACCAACAATAAATGATTCTTCAGTGGCGTTTTCGTTTTCATTTTTGCAGACTCTTTCCATCATGCATGACCCTGCCTGAAGAGATGAAGCAAGACGTTTGAAATTTTCTTCGCTGTTCGTTGCCAACTTGAATAAGAGGCTATGGATAGCTAGGATCATACCTTCTTATTTTTCCCCGAATTTCTTTTCGGTAAGGAACAGCCTTTCCACGAATTAAGGGAGAACAACTTGATGAGCTGGACTCGAATGGATCTCGTGGACATTAGCATCTTCTCCATCTCTGCTAGTTGTCACTAAATCAGTTAATACAGATACTTCAGTGACTTCACTACATTTCCTTTTCAAAGACCTAGGTTTCAGCCAATTTTCCGTTATTCTGGAATAAAACAATGAAACAATGAAAGCTATTTTCCAACCGTAATACTGCAAGACATATTTTATGGCAAAAATAGCAACAAAAGTACATATTATACATTTTAATTCCAATGAATATAATTACTTACGTCGTTACTTTTCTTCTGCAGTTATATCTAAAACTTCCACTTTGAAATCTAACTCTAATTTTTACAAAACTCACTTATCGGCTGCAAGAATTAAACTGTTAAAATAGACAAATATAACAAAAACTGCCAACACAGTTTTTACAACCACGATTTGAAATTATACTGAGACAGCACATACCGGAAAAATTAAAGTAAGGTTAGGTTTGAAACAGAAATGTACGTTAAAATATATGTAAGCTTTTCAGTTCTCACATAAAATGTGAGGATGTGGTAGGTGATACTGCTTAGTACCTAAGTATCATATTTGGATTCAGTCAGTAGCGCACCTAGAATTTTGCTCTGGGGAGGGGGGACTTTAGTCGGGCACCGAAACATTTTTATGCTGCCTTCACCATTTTGTCCTTAAAATTTGTGAATAACATTGTCGGATCAGGGTCCTTGGGGGTTTTAACCCCCAAAACCTCTCTGGGTGCGCCACTGGATTCAGTGTTCTATGTTTAAAGGCTATAACAATAATTTTTTTTGGTAAAAAAATTTTAATTGGTGGCCTATGTAATTATTATTTACAATAAAGATATTTATATTTTAACCTTTTATTCTAATGATTCGTAAACCTAATTTTCAGTAGCTTAACCGTAGATTTACCAAAAATGTGTGTATGTACGTTTCTCACTAACTGTAATGAATAATTCAACATAGACAAGCATCAAACACTTTCATTATTAATCCGATCGTTTGTTTCAGAACTCCGGTAGTTGCTACTTGTTCCAGTGTGGTCCGCCAGAAGACTTTAAGTGCAAATTTACCCATCACGTGAATTACTCGAGCGCTATATTGTCTATAAATAGACACTTGCCCGATTTAGAAAGCCAAATAAAGCTTACGAAGCACGAACAAGATTTGAACAAACTAAGGTTGGTAATTATTTAATTGATGCGTGTATAATACGAATTAGATGAATGATAATTTTGTTTAAACAAAGTTATGAATCTTTAACATCATTTGTACGAAACCAGAGATGGCTTAGTGTCATAATCGAATAAAATTTGCAGCTTTTTTGACTATTATATTAATCATGTTTCTCACGTCTTCTCATTTTAACGCTTTATTGGGCATCACGTTGAATTTTGGATGGTATTTTTATTATTGTTAATTTATCTCATCATTCAGTTATGATGCTATATAATTGTTACGGCATCCATATATTTATTTTTGTTCATTCACCCCTGCTTTCGCCGATTAATAATTGTAGTCCATTCCAACTATTTCTGTATTTTCTTAATCTTTTATTAATATACAGGGTGAGTTTTTTGCACGACATTTGTCGATAATTCTATTATGGTACAGAATTTACAAAAAAGTTATTTAGAACAATGTAGGCAATTATATTCTCCAGACTACAGAATGATTAATTACTAGATACGTGGTAGGGCAAACATACAATTATTTAAATACGGTATACTAAACCTACATTTTCTCATACCACCGGTTATTCTGAAAAACTTCTTAAAAGTCTTTAGGAAAACTTTACAGGAAAGGCAAAAACAAGTTTAACACAGCATTATTTTTGTAAAAGACTTATATTAATACTGATTAGTCAAAAAGGTAATTTCTGACAAATTTTTATAAGAAGTTTAAGTGATTTTAATAAAATGTCTTCCTTTGATCTTAAACTAGGTTTTGCTGGTGGCGAAAGTTTGAGAAAGTTCTACGCTTTTGCTCACTTGAAATAATATAAAATTTAAATTTTTATAAGATACATGTTTTTACTAAAGGAAAACATATTTTTATGTAATAAAAAAGTAATAAAACATATGTACATGTATAAAATACTAATGGGGTATATTATTCCGAGAATTCGGAATCCATTGCTAATTTTAATCTTTGTACATGGTTAAATTTCTGTTGCTGTAATCTTTCAATCTAATTGTAGCAATAAGACTACCAAAGAGAATTGAAATACTATTATAAAAATAATATCTCAATCAACCATGTGGCCTCCAAATCAGATGGTTAGGTGCTCCTGACAGCTGCAGTTATTCCATAAATTGTTTCATAAAATATTCGAGGAATATCCAGTTATTTCATATTCTCCAATAGTATTTCAAGCAGCCAATAAAATCTAAAATACGGCCAGTAAGTTCATAATACGGCCAATAAACCCAAAAAAAATCTGCAGACCATAAAATGAAGCTTATAATAATGTTTGCCTTCTTTTATAAATTTCAAAAACAGGCAAACAATTATTTTCCCACTACGTTAGAAAAGGTTATTGACAGAAAGTAGGAAGGGACTGCAATGAAGTTAGCACATATGTCATAGGATGTATGCCTATGATGGAATTAGTTTTTCTGTCAACATAGAACAGAATATTTAGTCTACCGGACAGAGAGAGAGAGAGAGAGAAGGATAGAGAGAGAGCTAATATTTATTCTACGGGACAGAACGAGAGAGAAAAGACAGACAGAGGGCGCCAACTACTTTTGAAGAAAAAATAAATAAACTAACAAAGAAACTAAAATATAACAATAATTTAAATATAAATTAATAAAGATGTGACGTTTATAACGTTTCATAATTAGGTGTTATATTATCTCTACTCTAGATTGGGTCTTTTTGTTTTGGAAGTTCCCTGCCTTCAGACATTGAATATTTGATACAGTAGGATCACCAACTTTATATCTTGTTTTGATACTGCTGTAATACTTCAATTCTGTAAAATTTCGGAAATCATTAGAATGAAAATACTTCACAACAAAAGGGTTTGGTAGGGCAAGCTTCCCTACAAATGTAACAATAAAACACTGAAAACTTTGTTTTCAAACTTCCACAAAATTTATTTTAACCTCTTATCACTACAGCTGTTTCGGCTGATTGCCTTTCTTAAGTGATCTATTTTTGGCATGCGTTTACACTTTATAGTCTCTAATGAAATAGGTTGAGAAGGGGTGAACTGTTTATCTCAAGTTGGCCATTCAGAATTATATCTGTGTTTTTTAATTTGTTGATTTCCATAGATTCTAATAAGGATAGCTTAAGGCCTACAAGAGCTCTGAAGATCTTAAAGATGTTGAAAGGCATGATCTAACCGGTCTGTAATAAGGAATATGCCATCTGCAAACCTCACGTTGTTCAGAAACTCCCCATTTATGTTGATCCAATATTTTCCCAATTATTGTTTCTCATGGCACTCTGTAATAAAGCGGTGAATGGTTTAGGGAGATGGTATCTCTTTGCCTAATATCCTAATCCTTTGTTTGTGTCGCCATAGTACATTCTGACTGCAGCTGTTGCGCTATTATATATATTACGGGGAAGAGTTGTGTACCTATGATCAATACTGTACTCTGTAAGAGCTCTTAAAATGAAGCTATTCTGTAATGAGTCAAATACTTGCTCAAAGTCTACAAATATTAATATCAATGGCTTATTGTATTCTACAACTTTCTCTATCAAGTATTTTATTACTTGTAGGTGTTCATTCGTTCCAAAGCCACTCCTAAATCCGGCTTACTCTAGTTATTGGTAAAAATCTAGCTTAGATCCCAGCCCGTTGGTAATTATTCTCATAAAAAGCGTATATAAATGAGATAACAAGGTGATAGGTCTGCAGTTTCCAATTTCTGTTACATCTCCTTTTTATACAATATTATCATAATGCCACTATTCCATTTTTCTGGTATAATTCTAAATTACTAAAGAGGCAGAAATTATAAAGAGATCTTAATCCTTTTATGAATTGGTCCCCTCCTAGTTTTATCATTTCATTTACAATTCTATCTTTTCTAGGTGTTTTGTTGTTCTTCATACATTTTAACGCTGATTTAATTTCCTCTTCGGTTGTATCTGGAAGTTCCTCTGATCCTTGATTTTGTATTGCTGGGATTTCTACCCCTGGAATGTATGTCGACTATATAATAATCTGTAGTACTCTTCGATGGTTTTTAGGATTTCTTGTTTTTCGTGTATGACATGTACTTCTTTATTTTTCAACTTATAAATATTCTTCTTCTTTAGCGTCCATCAACATTTCGATAAGCTGTTCAATATTTGTTTCATCTGGCACGTTTTCTGAAGGTTATTCTCTATTTTTTCCTTGTGTTAGTAATCGCTGTGAATGTGACATTTTAGTCCTTAATTACTATTTAACTGGGAATAAGCCACAATTAAAGATAAAAATACGTTTATTGACGTTTCAATAAACGTCAATAAACGTCTTTCTTGTTAGTTAATATTAGGTCAATTTCGTTCTTGTTTAAGCCATTTGGTGATGGTTAAGTCTACTTTTTCTAAGGACTTTTTTAAATTGACTGTTCATGACATTATTCTATAGGAGTTTGACCCTTTTAATTTTAATCGCCATATCCGTGAGATCCAAGTCAAACTCCAAATCATCTTGCTTGTGGCCTATTTTGGCGTTTAGGTCTCTCATCAGTATAGTATTACAGTGTTAACGTTATCGTAGAACCATTCAAATTCTTCTTCTATGTGGGCACTAGTATGGTATACCTGAATGATCTTTATTTGAATTTTTTCGTTTACTTTGTAAATAAGATATACAACTCTATCACTTATGTTTTTAATTGTGAGGATATGCTTTGTATGTTTTTTATTTACCATAAATCCAACGCCAACATTAGAACACTCTCCTCTATAATGCAATAGGTTTCCCGACGAATGAACTATTTTTTTATAATACCTGGGGCATGTTATGCATAATGAAAGATACAACATACTTCAATTATTTATACAAGGAAAAATCCAGGGCAAGAGAAGTTTAGGAAGGAGAAGAATCTCATGGTTGCGTAACTTGAGGGAATGGTACAGATGCACATCAATCGAACTATTCAAAGCGGCAGCATCTAAGACCAGAATAGCCATGATGATTACCAACCTCCGTCGCGGAGATGGCACACAAAGAAGAAGAATCTACCCGCTAGATGTAATTGCTTATCGCAATCGAGGACGTTCTCTATCAAGACGGTCAGACGACATCAAGCGCATCCAGTACAACTGGATTCAGGGTGCTCAAGATCAGATGGAATAGAATTATTTACTGGGGGTATGTTCAACAGTACACGCAAAACGGTCAATGATGATGATGATCATCATTTCATCACCAAAAACATTTTTATTTTGTGAAATGTAGCTTCATCTTCAAAAAGCACAAAATCGAAAAACAAAATCAGTTGCTATGCACTTGCTGCAGAAACCATTTGCCAAAAACTAGTTTGCTATGATAATAATGTACAGTCAATTCTTGATGTAACTATATGCGGTTTTTTATGCGGCATTTTATATTTACGTATGATTTTTCAGCCGAAGTTTGACTAATATCATTTTGACGTAAAATTCCATGAGTGCTGATGTGGGGATCCTCTTTAGCAGTTTTTAATAACCATATTCATTTTCTTCGCTGAACAGTTTTGGTTCTGCCATTTTTTTATATGCAATTGACCCAGCGCGAAAAAAAAACGATTAATTAATTTTTTAAAAGCAGCTCTTAACTTACTTCGTTCAGAATATCGCTGTTAGTGTGTTCTGGATGCAAGTAGGTAATTTCTTGACCTTTCTCCGTATACCCAGATCATATATTTTAATTTTCTACAAAAAAATTTATTTTTAACATGAATGACAATTCACACAGACCGATTAACAATGTAATATTGTACAAGTGACCTTTTACTTATTAATAATAATTACTCGGCACAGTCGACAATCCTTAAGGGAAATGTGCCTATGATGGTCCCCTTAAGAAAATAGCTTCATAATAATTTTAATTATTTACTTAGCAGACTTTAAATATGACCACATAACGTCTTGTTATTTGTACAATATGGCAAATGTTTCAAATTTTGCAGAAAAAGTGATGTTAAAAATTTATTCATAATTTACTAAAATCCTGTTATGGGTC